ATGTAAACGTAGGAAATCCTCAGAGTCAAATACCAATAAGAGTTGATGGGAATAGCATCCATAGTAGTAACTTGAGTAGTACGCCAGCTCAACGTTCGTATTGACAGTTTGCACTGGCGATAACAGCATTGGAGGCCATGATGCTGGAGTTCATCATCATTCCAACGCTTGGCGTTTTTCCGAGCGGCTGGTCGCAGGTGGGTGCAGTTGAAACCTTTTCAATGGAAGTGTCAACCCCAGCACTAGAAATGAGCCATGGCCGTAAAGCCCGAAAACCTATATATCCTCTAGAATGTCCTAGATATCCCCCTATATAGCCCCTATATAACCCTCACCTAGCGGAAGGGAAGCGCATCTTTGCAGGGTCGGCTGGATCTGCTTTCCGGTTTAGGGCTTAGGGGAACAGAGTTTCTACTAATGTTGATGAACCTTGCGGAGACTGGAAGGGATTTGGAGCTATATCGGCTACAAACTCAGACTGCATAACATTGCTCACTTCCGGCTGTGCTATTGCGACCGACATCCTAACCCCCATGCTAAACCCTTAAAAACCGGAGACCAAGTTTGTGCCAAGCCCCGTACTCTAAAACCAAACCCCAACCACAGGTCCCCTGAATCTCTACAAAAGATCCCAAGCTCAGATGACCGCTACATGTATGATCCCTCTAAATCGCCGAGAGGCAACGTAAACCCTTCAGAATGAGATAGATTTCAGTATCATGTGGAGCTTATGTACCACCCCAGCTGGGTGCAGATAGTCCGCGTTTTGAGCGGCTTCCTAATCTTCCTCCTCTGGTTCGCAATCGCCCATATAGCGACTTGGCTTTCCCGCTGGGGAGTTTAAGGATTGTGTTGTATGCGGGTTCTGTAGAGCTTCTCTTCCACGAACCCTTGGGAGAGATTTTTGTGATTCTACTATCCGTGTTTCGCACAAAAATTAAGGGGGCTATGGGCCTGCATGAAAAAGGGGAACTCTGAGCCCAGCCATACCTGGGTTGTCTCAGTCTCATGTCCTTGAATATTCAGAGGTTCCTCGGCACGTGTGCTCATGGTTATGAGTATTTGTAACATAGGCACAGATGCCACCACAACTCTACTTCCGACTGCTAAGCAGAGTCCTGAAAGTCAGTGAGCCCAGTGAGCCCAAGGACCGGACGCTTGCTGCCATGCCTGCACTGCTGTGCGATGCGCATGTCTAAACCCTAAACCCCCCCCCGCCAAGCTTCACCAGCCAGCACAGAGACCCCTCCGAGGTTATTGCTTACTTCGCGGGGATCCTGATCAAAAAGGAGGAGTGAAATCAGGGCTCAGTGTAGAGTGCAGCCGGTTATCCAAACTAGGATCTTCCTTTACTCCACCTAGCTGTCTGAAGATTCTAGGCGCCTCAGCAAAAGTGCTATTAGAGCAGTCCTACCAGCATGTTGTGGGCAAGATGAAGCACCCTTGAGGCCTGACCGTGGCTACGACTATTGCCGCTGCACTAATATGTTTAGATAGAGTAGCTGTAGCTAGCACAAAACACAATAACTATGCCGTAGGTACTATGAAAGTTGTGAGCTTGTATTTCTGCGCACAGAACGACCTTGCGATGCTGGAGACGAAGTGGGTTGTGTCAGATGGCACCCGCGGTGACCATGGCAAGGCAGGGCAGGGCAGGTGCATCCAATGCGAAAGTATGAAAGCAAAAATGTGCGCTCACACCAAGCAGTCGTTTTGGCAAGCGGCGGTGGTGGTCAGTGGTGGTGTGGTGATTCACATGGTACTGCTGGTGGTTGTGCTTGTAGCAGCGATGATTGTGACATGAGTTTGCATTGGTGTAGTAGTAGCCGGAAAGAGGAGGAAACAGTTGTTTCGAGGCTGTAGCTATGATGTCTCGCGTACTACGGTAGCAAAATCATCATCGCAGCCAGGATCAGTTACTGAATGAAAACAAGTGTTTGCAAACAGCCAGTTTGACAAGCAACTTTGCCGTCAGAGGAGCAAGAAGCCGTTGCAAGTGGCTTGTCATGTGATCTATAGCAATTCAGATCTCTGGATCTGATGCCATGCCAGTCATCATTATTCTCTGGTACGTTGCGTTGCCAGTTTGATTTTGCATGCGCTTGCTGGGACTTCTCCCCTTCCCTCTAACGGTGTTGCCTCAGGGGGAATTGGGGAATGGATCCAGGGATGATACTTAAGCAGTGTGTAGGGGCCATTACTTAGATTCGCTGCTCCATTCCCTACCAGCAGCACCGCCTTCACAGACTCTGCACGGAGAACGTAATTTGTTTAAACAGCTGTATGTGCATCCGTGTTTTCGGTGGCGTTGGCAGGTTCTGGAAAAGAACCTCATTCTTCGTGAAGGCAGTGGGCATTGGGTAAGGAGTTGATTTCCAGCTTTTACCGCTTTTGCCACTGCATCGCGCAAACAGGGTTGGATTCAGTCCTTGGGTATTATCAGCTGAAATCGTACATACTTGGAGATGAATTCTGCGCAAACTGCATAGGTCAATCAAGAGGAATCGCTACGGTTGACGGCGTCGAGGTCTTCGTCAGAAGCCGCGCAGAGATTTTCGAGGGCTACGAGAGGCAGGGCAGGGTCCCTGTAGAGTGAGATTGTGGGAAACGGTTGTCCTGACTCCTGATAGTGTATAGTTTGGGCACTGCCCCTACTCAGTACCAGCCTCATTTTGTTGTGTTTGCGGCTGATGTTATGAAGTATGTATAAAATCCCAAAATAGATCTGCCGGAGACATTCCATCATATAAGTGATGGTTCTTGAATTGGTGGCCTGGAGAGGCTGTAAGAACTTGATTCCTGTCTTGCCTGAGGGATGTAAATGCGCTTTTTACATGTATAACCCCTAAACCCTAAACCCTAAATAGTAGTTTCCATTTTCTTTTCCATTATCCCCATGTAACCCCAATATGTCCCTAATATTCCATGGGATGCGGCTCTGCTGTGCAATGAGAAGACAGTGTTCTGTCGTTTTGCCTGCGTCCGCGTCTCACATAAAGCGTTTTAACATGAACGCCTTATCCCCATAGAAATCACACCAACCACCAAAATCTGTCTGCAACCAGCAGCACTTCCAAAAGTAGTTAAACCTCGGAAGGCCCCCAAACCCTGAAGACAATGCAAGTGCTCTCCTAGAACACTGTTTCCTGCTGCGTGACCATGGATGCTTAACCGCGTTCTTGCTGTGGACAGTTATGCTGATTCCTGCTTGCTCCACAAAACAAGCCTGCCCCCACATGCTCACTGGACAACATCAATGTTCGAGGCGGACCAAGTGTTGGGCAATGCTTTTCGCGCACATGGCCGGCTTCGCTATGATCAGCGCTGGAGGTGAGATTTTCTGACTTGGTTGGCCGAGGTGTTGCCGTAGCAGGTGCAAAGTGTTTCCATGACTTGGTACATGTATAGGGTGCCTGCGGACATTCATGGTGAAAGGCCAACTTCGGTAGTTCCCTTGCTGAAAAAGGAATATACATTGTATACATGTGCAGTGTCACAGGGTTCATCCAGCTCCTGCATCCTCCACATCGATGGTCATGTTTGTTATGAGTTTTGATTCCTAGATGTGCTGGAAGATTTCTTCGAGACATTTTATTAGGAAGCAACAGTCGTTGTGTGCGATTTGGCGGCAGTTGAAGTTCTTTTCTCTTGCCCCGGTGCTGTGAGCCGCAAGTCCAGTGCAAGAACTGCTGTCCAGGCAACAACCAGGAAACCCCGGCGTGCTAAGGTGATCTACAGCATTCCCCTCCCTTCGTGAACAATGCAGGGCTCAGTTGGGTGGCAGTGGCGGCTTGACTCGAGAAATCTGCGTCCTTTGTTGAGCAAGATACCATTTCATGCCACGCGGAATTGAAAGGGATTGTGTCGTTAACTCCCTTTGAACTCACAAGGTTTTGGTTTAGGAGCTCTACCGAAATTGGTGATACGCGGTCCCAGGAGATGTACTCGGCACATTCAACTGTCGCAGTGTGTTGCAGTTGTCAACTTAAAAAAACAGGCAGCATCCACGCACCAGGTCGCACCATGTTGCTCCGTCTAGGCCGTTGTCTCTAGAGGTCATACTGTCTGCGATGATGTTTAGAGTTTAGAGCCATTCTATGAAAGCCTAGTTGTGCGCAAACCATGAAAGACCTGGAAGGTTGCAATATGAGCCTGCCCACATCCAAGTTACTGTGCGTTGTCTTCCTGATCTTGCTCTTCCAAGCGACAGCTTTCCTGTACCAAGAGGGTGGGGAGCCAATCCCTCAGCTTCACGATGCGGAAGGGGCAGAGGTTTGAAGCGAGAGGTCATGTAGCCATGTCTCAACCGGGAGTCCCATGCTGTGCGTCAAAGTATCTGAATGATCACTCGCTGGCTTGGATGCAATCTAGGGCTGTTTTGGCGAATCATGTACTTGACTGGCTTTTGCTGCTATGCAGGGAAGGGTTCACACCGAGGTTCAAAGAAGCTCAGAAGCTCTACAAGGAGGAAGGTCGCTGGTGTCCGGCATAGCTTAAGAGCTTGGGTTCTTTTGAAGAGCCCTGAAGCATCCTGAAGCCCTAAACTGCAACATGAAGCCCGCCACATGTACGGTAGCAGGAAGCTGTAAGTCTTGTGGTGCCCTCAGAAGTAAAACCAAGTCGCGGCTTTGCGCATTGACACCAATCCCTAGACGTACACATCCAACACCCTAGTGCGCACCATTGATGCGTAATCTGCGGAAACCCAGGTGATAACCGCGTAGTATACTATAAGCTCTTCTAAACACTTTTACAGGTAACAATCACGTTTCGTGATAGGCCTACATAAAATAAAACAGCATTATCTAGTCCACTTTCTTTTTAATCTACATTTTCCTTTCCATTTGATTAAGAATCATCGCACTGCTTGGCCAATCATCTTCTATTAGGGGTAAGGGTTCAGGATTAGTTTTTGGGTTCATCAGTAGGAAGAGCATATTCGCAGATGCGTACCTTGATTTGATGAGGTGTTCATATAGTTGTCAAGTGACTTTGCGGCCATGACCCAAGACCCGTCGAACTCGATCCTCTGCGATCCCGCGGGGAGCGTGTGAAGAATGTAGTGCCGCAGAGGATGTTATATGTTCATACCGGGTAGTTCCTCCCATAAGCATTTCTAGCACGTTGACTTCAAGCAGACCCGAGCCCTCTGGAGGTGTCGATGCTGAGGACGACATCTTCTGCCTTGCGGTATCTTTCCTCTTTGTGCAGTCGCTACGCTTTACCTTCTCAGGCCGGTGGCTCTGAAATGGCTAGGTGGGCTGAATTAAGCGCTGGCAGGTTCGGATTTGACGTCGGAACCGTTTCTTTGGGAAGGGGGAGGGGTTGCAGCGGCCCCACACCGTGCCACGGGCAAATGTTGCACTCCCGTCCAAGTGTCCGAGTAGGCAGCTCAATTCAGCGCTAAAAATTTCGAGAAGAACGGGATTTTGAACCGAAGCCCGAGGACTGAACTGTCCACTCATGAAGAAGGTCGTAAGAAGCCGCATGAATGCCCAGTTCCCTCAGACGTATCATGGCTTGGCCTGATCATTGTGTAACATTTCAGCTTTCAACCTGGCTTCCCGCAATGGGAGCTGTTGGTCCTTGTGGTTTTGGTAAGGTAGGACCATTGGGAAGTCAAAAGGGAACCTATCTTATGGCCATGTGTGGGAAAGGGTCAAAAAAAGTGTCAAATCCTAGGCTTGTAGCATGACTAGATACTCCTCGTCTGTCCCATGAAAATGGCGAGCATGCAAGGGTAGATATACTTTACAGGATGGGGGGTTGTATTAGTATATCTCCATATGTTTGTATATGGCCTTATTTGGCTCTACAAAAAATCGTACTTAAAGGGCCACAACAGGACAGAACTCGACCAATAGGTAAGCCCCTGATCCGACAGGCAGCCTTCCAGGAAAGCTGGGGCTCTACCACGAGGTAGGGAATTGTCAAAGTCATGGGTCCCTTTTGGGGGGGTGGGGGGGGGGCTGTAAGAAGGATGAATATAATACAGTCCTGTCCATTTCCTTTTCCATTATCCCTATATAACTCCAATATATCTATCTATCCTATATTCCTATAGTCCCTATATAGCCCCAATGTGTTATATGAACTTGCGTTTGTTTCGAATGAAGGGATGGATCCTTATAGTAGTCCCTATATAACCCATTATAGTAGTTTCCAATAAAACCCCTATATAATCTTATCATACCATAGTAGTCCCCCCCTAAATATTATCCCCAATCAAAAACCCTCATACAACCCTATAATACTACATTTTGCAGTTCCCCTTAAATTTTATCCCCAATCAATACTGTTCAGAGGTGTCGACAGAAGCGAACCAGATGCTGGCCCTCTATGGCTCCGCAGTGCTGATGGTGCTGGCCACTGGCCATATTTAAGGGGGGATTACTGTAGTATTATAGGGTTATATAGGGGGTTACACTGTTGATGGCGGAAATCTTGCACCACCTTAAGTCCTAAAGTCATAGGAATCACAATAATTTAGGGCCCCTAGGTGGTGCAAGATTTCATCCATCAACAGTATTAGGCTTAATTAGGGGGTTATATTGAGATAATGGAAAAATGGAAACTACTATAGTATAATAGGGTTGGAAGGGGTCCCTTCTTGGATCGGATGAATAGTAGGTGCAGAGGAAATTCATGTCATGTCGCACTCTAGAAGGAGGAAACCTTTTGTGGAAATCTCCGGGTTGCCACAGCCACGAGTAGTTGCATTTTATGACGTGTAAAGGGATTCAGAGTGCTTCGGATCTTGTGAGGCCAGTGCTGCGGGCTTGGTCTGGATGATTGCTGGACATATGGTAAGCTTCTGAAGCTTGCTTCTCATGATGTTGAGTGCTGGAAAATTGTGATTCAAAATATTCGTGTCGCTAGCAAAGTCTTGGAAGGTAAGGTGGCAGCCAATTTGTTGAGAAACGCATGTCATCGCACGGATTTCATGAAAGACATCACGCTGCTGCTTTTCTGGTAAAGAGTATCTGGTTTCTCGAAAACACCTCAGGACCCTCCTCCAACCATACGGGCTCCTAGGTTACATGAGGCCTCGTTGCATAGAATTTCTCGACGTGAAGTTCCACACGGGGAGCTTATGGCATCCTCTGGGCTTCGTATCGTGGTCTTCCGTTGAATAAACTACGCTGTACTGGAGCTATTGTCCTCTGCACTTGTTGTGTAAGCCATGTCGTAACGATGCTGATCATGATGATATGATGGTGGCATTCGTCAGTAGCATCAGCACCGCCGCCGCCGCCAGCAGAAGCAGCGTCGTCGTCGTTCATCATCATCATTAGCACCATCTTTTTTTTTTGTGTGTGTGTGTGTGTGTCTGTCCGGTTTCTGGTCTGCGCCCGTGTTGGTCTTACGCTTGAATGCTGTAGCGTATTCCCGTTTTCTTCAAGCTACGTAAGCAGAACTGGAAGCTCTTTATAGGCCTAGGCACGAGAAAAGTAGCAGGATGAAGCCCAGTGAAAGAGGCATATAATGAGCGCTAAGAAGGCTGGAGCATCAGAGCAAGAATGGAGTCTGGAGCAGGTTGCAGTGACGGGTCACTCAGAAGCTAAGAAAACTAACGGTACGGGTCAGAAATCGTGTTAAGTCCCACCTAGCCACAAGTCTCCATCCCCAGAGGGTTTTGAAAACGGCTCAGGTGATGGTTGCTGCAGCTTTGTTTTGCCGGGGCTCGCGCGCGGCTGGCTCTTGAACGTATGGGTTTCCTTTGCGCTGGGAAGTTTGTGGTGGGCATGCTATTCTCGATTATCCGGGCATTTCAGGACCGCAGCAGGCGCAGAAACTGCCTCATGTCGGTGGTGGCCTGCATAGGCTCAGGTAAGGCGTGGAGGGTTTGAACTTTGAGGTTTGGATGCTGGCAAGCTCGAGGGTTCCCCAGTCTTTGTACTTCGATATAGCTTTCCTTTAGTTTGCTTTCAATTTTTGTGCTAGGGCTTGCTCTCATGGGCTTGAACATGTTGATCATGTTGATGAGATAGATGCCTTGTGGATACAGCCAGCTGAAGATCATCCGGGCGTTCAGCTTGAGTAACTGGTGCTCCTTTCTATCTTAATCCCTAATCATGTTGCAGGTGACGTAGACCCCTATTGTAATTACCACCCCTGCTTCCTCGACTTGTAGTCCCATCGGGTCCTTGCAAAACATGGGCTTCACAACTGGGGTTGTCCGAAATCACCTCGTGGAAGTGTTTATATGAAACGACCACAGGCTGCATGAAAAGGCCTTACGCGAAAGTTATCGATGGTGTTCGCGAAAAGGTATCTGAGATTTCACGAAAGAAGCATCGCAAGCTATACTTCGTTGGGTAAAGGGTTATTTTAAGAGTTCAAGCCTCGGTACTTGCTTTAAATATACTTGGGCAAAAGTTCGCGATGGTGTTCGCGAAAGCAATCTTGGCTTACCAGGAAGAGGTCATTTTGGGATGCGAGTTTTTTGGATAACAAACAACGTTATACTTGCGTCTACAACTCATCCGCAAGCAGCTCAGGCTTTGAAACCAGAGAACACGTTTCAAACGTGCTATTGGAGATGTCAAAGAAGTTCGGGGCCGAAAACAAACAAACGTCCTATCTTACAAAGCCGGAGCCCGGTGAAGGGATGCCAAGGGACCTCATAAAAACACTGACTCAGGGCTGACCCATGGAGAAGTTGAGAGTTAGGGATAATGGAAGACAACGTGGAAGCTACCATATTATAATAGGGTGTGTTTTGGGGTTCGGGGATAATGGAAAAGAAAACAGAAACTGTTATTTGGGAACCTTTGAAGCTAAGTCTTTTGGACTTTGGGGCGCAAGAGCTTCTGTTTGTTTCTCAGCTTGCAAGTGCAAAGGTTGGCGGGGCACAGAAGGCCAAACTGCCCGCGCCTAAGAGATTGAAAGGCCCCATGAGGCTCTTAAAAAAGCCACGAATCTCCCTTGCGGAAGGCCATAGCTGCTGAAGAAGAAAACCCCTTGCCAGAAAGATCGCGTTGTTCTAGGGTCGTCCAGCTATAATTGAAACGTGCAGAACTGCAGTTATAAATTGGGAACTGGCTCATTTTCAGCCCAGGTGAAAGATCTTCTTGTGGGGACAGCCTCCATGGGCTTCGCTTGGTGTGTGCCTCCTGTGCAGTGAGCTTCAAGGTCTTGGAGGTTGAGTATAGGTAGGGCTGTAAAAGTTGGAGGATCACAGATTGCGGCATTTTCATTCACAGCTTTTCGCTTCAAGACGTTGACAGAGCATGCACACTGGATACAAACTCAGAGGATGCTTTTGCACTGCAGCTGCTCCAGGTACTCTTTGGCACGCGTGCAGCTTTTGATTCCTGGAAGATCCTCCAGGCAGGGGATTGCAATCAAATTCTCTAGCACATGAGGCTCATGACCAGGATGCTCATACGACCACATAGAGGCCATGGACACGTAGGAGGTGCATTTCTCAGGAAATCGGGTGTGATTGTTTTGCAGATGTTGTAGGCCGTAGTTGGGGCATCAGCTGTCAGCTGAGCTTGTGCCTACTATGCACAGAAAGCCTCTGGGCCCGTGCAGGCCCTTCAGACAAATACTTTACAAACCTCTAGTATGGAATCAGCTTGAAACCCCGTAGCCGCACATAGGTACACTCTACCTTAACAGTAATCAACACTGCACTTCCCTACACGAGGCCCCTTAGGAGGGCCTCTTCAAAAGTCCCAAGCAAATGGAAGCCTGACAGGCCAACAACATCACCCCGGTGACTTGGCCTGGCAAGCCTTATGTTGGCCTCCTGGTTCACCGGGACGTTGCTTAGGGTTTAGGGTATCTTATTTGGGGATAGTATGGTACCCAATGTTACCCCAATAATGGAGAATCAAATGGAAAAGAAAATGGAAAATGAAATGGAAGCTGGGATTATATAAGGGTTATAGTATCTCTTGCGCAGGGGTGCTCAACTTGCAATCGCCGTCGTTCCTTCATAGTCTCGATGCTGTAGCCTACGCCAAGACTGACTTCTTTTTTAGGCTCCTGCGTTTGTACAATCACACTAGACCATGTGTTTAGCCTGCGTTACACTGTGCTATTTATTAAGGGGGCTCGATGCTTTGTGTTCAGACCTGCTAGAGACTCGAAAGCTTCTCAGGCATGGATCCCTCTTTTCAGAGGAAGTGGAGTAAACAGGCCACAGTGAGTTGGAGAAACTCCCGCTTGCAGCTGCCAGCTCACGGGCTGCCATTTCGGCTTTTACAAAATTTCCTCAGGACTTCCGAGTGGATGTACAGGCGCATGCAGTTTCCCGAAAAGGTTTAAGGTCTTCTGTCGTTTTACATCTGCCTGCTTCAAGGGGTGATATGTTAGAGTCAAGATTGAGCGGAAGCAAAGACAAGCCTCGTTGAATAGTGGAGCCCAATATAGCCCTACTAAAGCCCCAATATTACGACCATCCTGTATACCCCAGTTTCGATTTAACGTTCCATTTTATTTTCCCCTTTGATGCTCCATGATAATCCTAATAGTAGCCCGATAAAGCTCAAGCCCCAGAGCCTTTTTTCAGATGCTCTCAACTAAGGCGACAATCGAGGGCCGCGTGCTGCTGGCAATGACGTTGTCCCTCTTTACCTGCCCTTCTCCAAGATCACAAGTGTTATAATGTTTACAAACTTCTCCACACCTTGCATAGATCGATTTTGGCACGTGGCACTACTCAAGGAGCGTTTTGTTTCTTCGGCATGATCATTCACTACTACCTCAAACTTGAATCTTCACCCAATGCGTAGCCAGTTTTTGCAGCTTGCAAAGGGTTACGCTGTCAGAACGAGGGAGCATGGAAGGTTGGTCCAGAGTTGTCTGCACAAAACGCGGTACTCCTAAACATGACTCGGCATGTGGGGCAAGCAAGGTGCCGTAATCGTAGTCCTGGACAAGATTGAGGATGGCCTTCAGAAGGGTCAGGACCAGCTGCACCATGTGAGCCACAATCTAAATTCCTGAACTAGGCAACGAAACGAGAAGGGGGGGGGGGTAAAAGAGGGACTGCTATAGGGGTTGCTCACGTTGACAGTTGCACTGCTAAGGGTTAAAATTCTATCTAGCGTGGCGGTCATAGCAGCAGCAGTGGCAGCTATCACCATCCAAAAGCCACTTGTACACTGCGTACCCATACTAGTCCAAATGCCTTGAACACGCGGACCCTTTAGCAAAATCCTCCCAAAGTTCTTACCGCCCTGTACCTTGATTTTCATTTCTACGACACCCTGCACCACCGAGTGATGGCCTTTGTAAGCCTACCCCCCCGCCATCTGCAAGGCCTGAGGCTTTTTCAATGATTACCAGCAAAACCTTGACCTTGGCTTATAATTTTTGCGGGAGCGCATTCTTTACCCTCTGGCAGGCAGAAGAGCAACTTCATAAGCTT